ATATCCAATTAATAATCTGTTATCCGTTATTTAAAATAATAAAATATTATTTTTATAAATAACATTTAAAAAAATGTAATTAAACAAAAAGTCACAATTTGTTATATCTAACAGTTATATTTAGTTAAAATTTTTGTAACAACGTGATATTTCATGCAAAAACTTTTGTCTACCATCACCTTTTGCAAAATCGTTTATACTATTTTTCACGGAATCAGAAATCTTTAATTAAACATCAGATTATTGCGCTAAATGGTGACATAAATAATCACATAAGCGAAATCACTTATACGTGACAGCGTACCAAAGTTAGATACTACTTTATTTAAGATAAAACTTCAAAGTTTTCAAGAAAGATAAACAAAATTCTTGAAAGTTTCTTCATAGAAAAAGTTTTCTCTTCCTATAATTCAAAGCTACCGTATTTCAAAATTTTGTCCACAATCTTATATCACATTTATTTTGTCAGTCAAGATAACTCTCGAACGCATTCTGTAAAATCTGTACTATTTTAATTAAATAACATTTTTCAAAACAAATATAAGGTCACACAAACTCAATTAAAATTATCTTCAAACGCGTTTTGCAAACTTATGTTCTATTTTAATTAAATTTTGCTGATTTCTTAAACCAAATATAAAATCGCAAATTTGATTAAATAATAAAATAATTATATATCTAAGGTATAATAAAATAATTTCTGAATTAAAAAATACATTTTATAAAATATTTTAAATATTATAATTCATGAAATTAATATAAAAAAACAAAGTGGGACAACTAATAGGACAGTAAAACTTGACAAAGAACTTTCTTCTACCCTAGTCGCGATATTTTCTAGAAATCATTATGAGAGTCGTTTAAAGTAAAGAAACAAACGGTTGTAGTTTCAATATGGTTTATTCAATCAACGTAACAATTTATCTACTTTTCAACATAATCTCTTACAACAGTTATATTGTCCCATGTCTCTACTAGCTTTTTTATTCAGTACATTTTTTTGCACATTTCTTTCACATTTTCGTTATTTGCTTGAAAAGATAAATTTTTGGAAAGAATAGTAATTTGTGACCTAGATCTATTATTATGAATCAAAATCTAAGCGCCAAAGTATAGAGATGCGACGAAGCATGGAGCGAAGATGCGAAAAAAATGTTTATTGCAAAAAATATTAATTTGCAAAAAATGTGCAAATCTGGCTCAAACAGCAAACATTTTTTACTACTGTAATAAAAAAGTAGAGAGAGAATAGGACAAGTGTATAATTGTTGAAGGAAATTATGTTGCAAAATAGGTAAATTATTATATTGATTGAATAAACCGTTTTGAAACTATGCAACCGTTTGTCTCTTTACATATTAATTAATCCTCGTAATACAAAAACGCTAAGTAACAAATTTTTTAGTTTAAATAAGTTTTTATAGATTTACTAGCTTAGGTTTATATTTTAACAGAATAAATTGTAATAAATTTTACGATTTTTTATTGTTTATGTTAATGTTCCACATTAACAAAATATTTCGCAGAATTACATAACCAATAATTTGTTATTAAAAACAAGCAAAATTATTTCTCTTTTAGTTCATAAATAATTGCATTTAAACGAATTTAAGCCAATAAAGAAATAGATGAATGTCTTATAAATTATTACCTTAAAGTATCCAAAATAACGAAAATTACACACTCAAATGCGTTTAAGAATCATTGGAAAGTGCCAAAAATTAAACAAGATAAATAAACAAGAGAATGAAAAACACAATATATATATATATTGCTTTAAAATAGCAAAAATATATATACGCAAGAATATCGTTTCACATAAATTATATCAATTTTAGAAAGCTCGAAATGTGCGCATTGGATGTATCATATATGTATTTGAAATCGGACAATTTTATGTCTTCAAATGTTTAATAAATGTGAGAGATTAGACATAATATTAACAAATAATTAATAAATTATATAATAAAATTAAAATATACATAATATATAACAATATATAATATATAAATATTTTAACGTATAACAAAATTGTAATTGTAAAACATACAGTTTTAGATTTTTCATTGACAACAATAATACATAAATATATAGATATGATGCATACATCTTGAGTTGTCTAAAATAGTGCGTTGAGATTAATTGTTAGATAATTTTACAAAATATTATCAAAGAATATTAATATTCATTTTTCGAGCTTTCAAACTCTGTAGGAAATCAACCCCCGAAATGCGCAAGCGCTGCTTCTGCCGACTCATACCTTTATAGAGAATTATCCTGACATTTTCCTGGTCTAACGACAATTGTATTACTGATTACAACTTTTACGACTACTTCTGATTTAAAGGCTTTGTGTCAAATGGGAACAACAAAAGCTATTGTACGGCTATACAAGTCTTTCTCGAGCAGTAGCAGCTTTATCGGTACAGTTGCCGCAACGTGAGCACGTGGCATGCACTGGCGACTCCTGCTCATATTGATCGACCTGAATCCGCGCTCTGGTCGCGCGCGGTCGCGCTCGGTCCCGCGCTAGTCAGTTCCGTAAAAGCGATTGTACGACGCTTTTACAGCGTAGTCGCAATCGTGTAGTAGCATCGTGGTGCCTCGCAAAACTGCATCGTGCTGCATTGTGCCCTCGTTACGCGCATTTCACCATCGTTATGCATCGGTGATGTAGACTCGTCGATAGACGCACTGGGGTGTCTGAGCTTAAAGAGGGTGTAAGTCCGGAAGAGTGCCAGTCTCACTACACAGTCAACAATAGAATTCGAGATTGCGGAACGACATTGAGGGACGATACTGACAACAACCAGTAAAACAAAATAAGCTTTGTGTTCGAGATATCGTTTATGAAAAAGACACTAGTGGTGCCACGAGAAAATTAATTCTTTTAAACTCGGTGATGCAAAAACGAAAAAGTATGTGCCAATTGCAGATAGATTCTATGAATACGTTAAATCTGTTTCACAGTCTAAATACAAATAATACATATTTTATTTTATGTAGCTTTGATCCATATTCGAATTGAATATTGCTAACTTTTAGCTGATTGTAAGTTATTATTACTATAAAATAAAATAAAATACTTTGCATAAATAATGTATGCAAATTAAAAAAAGCTTACAGGAATTTAATTTTTTAAAATAAATTTGAAAATTTTTGGACTGATTAAATAAGTAATCTTTTTACTACTGTGGAATAAATTAAAATAAAATAATCAAATGAATAATCAAACTTAATATGATAGAAGAAAAAATTGATTCTATCGTATTTTAATTATTATTAAATAAATGATTTAATTCTATCAAAAAATTTAAATAAATAAATATAAAAAAACTATTTTTCTATTTTCTTAAAGATTCAGATTTTATATTTTTCTATAATGATGATAATGAGTTTTTAAAATTTTATTTAAAAATTGTATGTAGTAAAATTGCATTTATCAGAATAATATTAAGCTTTATGTTAAAAAATTCTAATTTACTTTATTAAGCAGCGTATTTATTAATTAGTAAGTATTATAGCTCAAATTAAAAGTTTGTTAGCATATACTTAACATTTTGCTGTTATTGGATGACTTATAACGAAATCTTATAACGCTGAACTTTGCGACGAGTTAAACGAGTTTAATACGTTATTATCTCATTGAGATAATTTGTGTTTAAATTAAATGTCGCGTAATATGAGATATTTTAAACACACGTATGTATTTGCATATCAACTGAGGAAGATGACGTAATGATTCCAATGCCAAAAATAATTTCAATGTCAAAAATATCAAGAGTTATTCACTAATCAAAATATTAAAAATTATATGTGCATATTAATTAAGGAAGATGACGTAAATGATTCCAATGCCAAAAAATCAAGAGTTATTGACTAATCAAAATATTAAAAACTAGCTTAAATTTTTGTTTAATTAATATTTAACATCGATCGACTCGTAATAAGATCAATTTGTAATTTCAGAGGCTGTCTGAAATATACGAATAAATGAGATCGTGCTAATTACTTGATGTCTGAAAAAGTCTCGACATGACGCAAAGCTAGACGAATTGTAAGGAGATCCCGCCGCCATCAGCATGTGGACGAATCACTTAATAGTGGGTGAGTGCGCTTACATTTCTCACGAACTTCCACTTAATGCTTTTAAAGGTTTTATATCCGAAGAAAATAGATATAGACATCGTCGAATCGAATCTTTTTTCGCGAATATCAAATGTATTCAAATCTAATTGTTACGTCTTTAAACTAGAGCAACTAACATACTCTTGTTATTTGAAATTTGAAGCAGAAAAATACCCTACATCCAAACTATCGGATACTTGCCCCTTTAATGTTAAGCTAACTTTCTCTCAAGTACAGATTTTAAGAAGCAAAGTATGTAAATCTAAACATCCATTTACTGAGATTAGTACAGTCCTATTTGCAATTATTATAAGCCTTATTAAGAGTCTAGATCATAGGTGTTATTACATATTAGATCGATCAACACGCGTATGGCCGCTACCTCTGTGCTGCTAGGTACGTGAACACGTACGTATGTACGTAAGATCCATGAAAAAAGTCCACAATTGAAAATATCTAGAAGACTGCATGAACGCAACATACTATTGTCCCTTCACATATCGTTTCTTTATTGACCATTTAAAGTTATATTGAAAATAAATTAATTTAAGTTAATAAATTGACAAATTACATTAAAAATATATCTTCTAGATTCGATCAAATGCGGAAGTTTATTTTCAGAAAACTGTGCGGGCATATTCATATTTTTGTCGGTTTTCTAATGCAAGTAATTGTTATTGTCATGTGTAATAAAATTGAAATGTTTGTTTTTTATATATAAAATATAAAAAAGCTTCATATACTACAGAATAAAATAATATAATAAATATGTTCGTTAATTTTGTAGAAAAATCTATTTTTAGTATTTTGTCTATATTAATATTAATGCATTTCTCATATCATTTCACTTCTTTTATTCTCATATATATTGTTTATCAAAAGACCTTTCTGGGGTTTCTTTTAATGAGTATAAAATATTGTTTAATTAAATTGAAATAATTAAACATTATTTTATACTCACTAAAAGAATCTCCAGAAGAAACTTCCCACAAACAATATCATTCCATATACTTGCTGCGCAATAATCGCCAAAATATGCAGTGCACGCATAAGAATATCGATTTAGTTCACTCACCTCTTTCACTGCAAGAAATAAGTAAACTCAACCGCCAGTTCGTGTTCCACATTACACAGTAAACTATGAAAAAAGAATGAATAAAGTGTAATTGTTTTAATATTTGTACTGCAAAATAACTCAATATTTATGCGTGACGTACTGCGCAGAAGTGATTAATCGTTTGCCCTTTATTAATCGTACACCTACACGTAATAAAAAAATTAAAAATATGTAAAAGAATTCAAATGTCTCGGAATAAAGTTTAAAGGGTACGTACACTTTATTCTAAATATATGTTATTACATGTGCACATTATCTTTAACTGGAGCGGAAACTGTTTCAGCGTGCGTATATATCGTACATCATAATATCTAACATATTAAGTTTCCGTTTTTCCAAGCAGTTTTTTCAAGGTAAAAATTGTTTTACAAGCGACACGTAATAACATACATTTCTAGATTGTCTTGAAATTGTGTCACCAAAATTAATTTTTACATCATTTCTATTACGATATTTTAGTTCGTATATGAAATACAGATTTTCTATCACTTTCTATAATCTGTATATTTTCTCTTTATATTTATACTGTTCTTTATGCATGCAATATATTCCACATCTCATTTTTCATATTATATTTTATCCTCGAGCATTAAAAGAAAGTATTCTGCACTATATATTTCACAATTTGCAAAGCGTAGCAAACTTAAACCACTCGACAAACCGACAAATCTGGATGTGTCTGTCGCAGGACCTTTTTTAATCGAGTGATAGCATTATTAGCTAGCGCAACTATCAGCGGCCCTCAACATCGTTAATATCGGTACGCTAGAGGCGCGCTATAGAGACAGTAGCGGTTGTAGTGGTAGTCGCAGTCACCGTAGCCGATATATAATGCACGGAGAAAATTTTATATCAAAAATTACTATGTACGGCATTAATCGCGGACCATGAAGCCGCGGACGGAACATTTTTACTATGTTTCATATGTGAAAAACATGTAAAAATTTTTATAATTCCTTCATAGTCCGCGGCTACTATCGTACATAGTAATTTTTTATATAAAATTTTCTCCGTGCAGTACTGTCGCTTGTTTTACCAGATTCACCAAGTTATTTAAGCTAGTAACCCATACAATCCGGTTATCGACGCATATTACCTAAAGCAACAACCAATTTTTCGTTTTCAGCGGCAATTGTACTCGCGGTTGCCAACGTCTGTCATGCGGAGTGCCAGAGTGAGTGATTAAGCTAGCTTACTCTCCTCGCGGTGTGCCCGTGCCGTGTCATCGGACTCGTTCGCTAGGGACCAACCGACTTTGACTTTCGTCAAAGAATTCACCCCAAGATTTTAATGAGGCGGAAAAGTACTCTCCGTTGGGAATTACCGGTCCGAGATTGCTCCGAACTGGACGAGAAACGTAGACGAATTTCTCTTCTAATATCTTATTGGCAAAAGTCTTTCACTTAAGAGGCTATTTAGCTATTTTAACGACCGGGTATTAAATTATTCCCGATAAATCAAGAATGTTGTTTAGCAGTCGACGCAATTTTTAGCCTCGTCCAGTCTCATCGAGCATAGCCACGTCATCGAAGCACTTGCGCTCTTCTAAAGTGCCGTGAGAAGCGAACGGTGCCTGATAATCTTTTTTTAAAAGTTCACGCGCGTGCGGGTGCCCATCAATGTGAAAAATTTTATGACAAGAGCACTCGGAAAACGATGTATCTTCGAAATATAAAATGTTGTAAAATAATCTTAGGCATATTAGTCTGCAGCAGAATATTGCACTGATTAATCAATAAAAAAAAATGATTCAGAAATTAAATAATGCTTAATCATATACTCTTATGGACTTATTAATTAAAGTCATTATTTTTTAGCGACAACTTGTAAATTTTAACACTGAATGTGGCTACTAATTAAAAGATAACGTTGATTTTTTACAAGTTTGGTTATAACATCATATGCATAATTTTTATAAATTAAATACCACATTTAGTGCTAAACACATATAAGAGTAGAGATAGCTATATAAAAAATCTTATATCGATTAAAAAAATTATTATTATTGGTGAAGCATTTTACTCTTTGACTTCATATACATTCTTTTCCGAGTGCGATAAAGGCGATGCACGGTTTTTGAAAATGTATCTATTTCGCAGCTCGCTCCGTTTACTGCTACGAATGCGACTCATGGACGGACCTCAGATGCAAAGATCCTTTCAATTACACGGCATTACCTAGAGACCAACCACCTCTAATGACCTGTAACGGATGCTGCGTAAAAATGGTTCGCAACGCAAATTCGCGTGAGTATCATTTTGCTACAAAAGTTTATCCAGCGGAGAAAGAATCCACAATTAGGCTAATTTACACAGATGAAAAATTTATACAAGAACATAATTCTTTTACGAACTTTTTCTTTACAAAAATACGTATAGTTTTAGATGTAAAATAAAAAACTTGACAAAAATTTTTATATTTAAATCAATCTGTAGGTATTTCAATACAGAAATAATTCTTTTACCCGGTTTTGCTTTATAAAATAATAGTTTTAAGTACAAAAATAAATATAAGTTAGGTTTATATAAATAATTATGAACATTAACTGATAACATAACGATGATAAAAAACATAACTATAGTAGAATACTTTGTAGTGATTCTATAAGCAGCTTTACTTGCTGCTTATTAAACTTTTTGCTTATAGCGTACGAGAGCGTGAGAAGAACCTGCACCTCGCAGCTACAAATAAACTTATTCATGGTGGACCACGTGTGCATGATGGAAAGTACCGGCACTGGTCACATGTGCTTCTGTGAGGAGGATATGTGCAATCGTGTACCCCCGACTTCGCGTTCGAATTCCATACTCCTACTAATCCTATCGACTATCCTTGTTCTGCGTTCGACCATCTTAGGAGCCTCAGCTTGCTTTATAGAACGTTGCAATGACTACATCGTATAACACCAATTAATTCGATCCACCTATCGCAGTGGTGTCCAATCATATCCTTTGTAGAGATTCTAACCAGTCAACAAACCACTCATCGGAACGAACGACATAGCTGTGGCTTCGATCTTGAAAAGACTAGATTCTTCAAGATATAAAAGATAAAAGTAGTTAAAAAAAATGAAAAGCGGTGCGAACGATCAACGTGTCGTTATAGTTATCGTTAATTTTGTGCCTCTTTCAACGCGTTATCGATTCATCAGATCGCGTAGAAATAAAATATATTTGTATGATATAAAAATTTTATCGCAGTTGCATATCGTAGATAGTATACGCATAATAGAAAAAAATGTGAATAATGAGATAAATTTAATATATATTGCTGAAGAACGGGGAATATTGAAAAGAATTATATATAGTTAACAGAGTTTTACACATTACACATACACGTGTACACACATACACATTCATACACAACGTACAAGTGATATCTATTGTTACAAAGAATTATATTATGCGTTATAATACAGTAAAAAATTTTATTAATTGTTTTTATGTTATACTTTTAGCACAAAAGTGCTAAAATAAAGTTAAAAATAAAGTGATACTGAATTATATCGGCAATAAATCTCGTTTCGAGATCAAAGCTCAATCTAAAATTTGTTGATTTAAATAATTGTTACATTTATCTGATTAACGGATAAAAATTCCATTTTTTTTTCGAGTTTTATTGTTAGAGTTTGTGTGTAAATCGTTCGTTCCGATCGCTGGCCTTAGACAGAGAATACCTAAGTGTTTCGTGTAGAAATCATCCCAAATATCCAAACCAATTTCTCTGACGATCTCGGCGCGAGCTCCCTGTTAGTTGTTCTTCGAGCAAGCACGGCTGGCATCGTTACAATGCATTCGTGACATAAATTCCAAAGAAGAAGTTTTATTAATAATTATAGTTTACACTAATGACATAAACTGCTAAATAATAAATTGAATAATTTATCCTTAAATTGAGTGATAGATCTAAGTTGTACTTTCAACAAAACTTGATTAATGCGATAATCTTATCAGCAAATGCTTTCTAGCTCTTTTTGCAAATTACTAAAAATTATTTGTCTAAATTATGCAATGTTTCACATTTACGTTTATTCTTGGTGTTTTGAATCTAACTAATTCTACTTACAAACCAATAAGTAAAAATATATGAAATTGTACACAATTTTCACTGAAATTGAACTCCTTCTTTGGCGTTATCGTTGCATGTATTCGATTGTCTGGGAATATCAATAATAATTTAATCTAATTAATTTTGCTCGAATAGTACAGAAAAAGAACAATGTGTGTGGATACTCTAGCTTTCAGATTTTTCTCACAATAATGCACCTCATTATGTTGCGTTTTTCATTTTAATGCGACAATATGCGACATGACTGATCAATTTCTCGTTCAATGCGAAAACTTATTCAGATATAAAGCAAAATTGCGCGAAGTATGAACACCAATTATACATGATTTAATATAGAAATATTTGTATGACAATTTTTTAAAATTTTCCAATTTCAGATACAATTGAGTAAATGAGATGAAAATGAAACAATTGCAAAAATTTTACTAACATTTACAAAATATATTCATAAAATTTGTACAACTTATTTTTAAAGATATTAAAAAATAAGGAGCAATTTTTTTTAATAATTCAAATGTTGCAAATACAAATATTAAATATATACGTATATAAATTTCTCTGAATCATGTTTTTGCATTTCTATCTACTGCTTTTCAGCAATTATTTATTTTATAAAAAATTATTTTATAAAATAACTTTTAAGCAACATTGATAATATATAACGCAACAATCTTTAAATAATATATGACGATATCGAGAATATTATACCGACGTCCAGCGTTCAAACGTCGCGCAATTTAATTAATGTAGCAAAACGTTTCTTATATTCCATTTAATTATTCTATCTCATTCTTCTTCACATTGTCTTTCTCTCTAGTTCTTACTCTCTTTATATTCTTTGCACTGTTATTTCGTTTTTATCAGTGTTCTTTGATGCACTCTCTTTCTCTTTCTTTCTCTCTTTCTCTCTCTCTCTCTCTCTCTCTCTCTCTCTCTCTCTCTCTCTCTCTTTCTCTCTCTCGTGGACGTCTTGTCCATTCGCTATTCTGATAAGACATGCTCATAGAAATGACGAGAGACAATAGAGTCTGTAATAGAAGGCGAGCTTGTACAATAGAAAGGTGCTCTACCGTAAAAAGCATGGTTGCAGCATGTATATCTGATATAGCATCGATAAATGCAGTAAGAATTGCCTGATGAGCAGCGAGAATAATTTTCTCTAGTTTGAAAGTTGTCCACATATGTGCACGTTTTTTAAAATATAAAAAACTTTATGTAAAAATCTTAGATATACATAAAAAGATTGGATAATAAGAGGATTGAAATTCCAAATAATGCTATGCAAAGTTTAAAATGCTTAAAAATAATAAAGGACTGCAAGTTTTTTGGAACTAATACTCTAAGAGATTAAAAAATTTGGATTTGAAATTTTTTTAAAACATTTGTAAAGCTTGTAGAATTTATGGATAGTAAAAATCTCCCAGTAAAAATTAAGTAAAAATTTGTTACATATTTCCTGGAAACGGGCACGCATTAAAGAACATAGATCGCTATAATGAAAGAGTTTTCAGATATTTGTTATTAAAAAAAATCGAGTTATACTATATACGTAGACGAAAATATTGTTGCATGAATAGCGTTCACGAAGTTTATATGGCTTATCAAAAGTTGATGCGGAAAAATTTTAATTATAATTACAAATTTGAATTTCTTATTTTCGTAAAGATCAATTTATTATAACATAAGAGTTTTATATAAACTCAGTAGGTATTGTCATATATTTAAGCTATTATAGAATTATATTTTCTTTAATGAAGCTTTTTAGAAATTTATATGATTATATTCTTTTCTGAAAAACTATAGCTTTTTTCCTATCTTTTACCGTTTAATTAAAAATCTTTTTCTATTTATTTCTTATATTATTCTGTGTGTGTATTGTACTTTTACATAAAATTGTTTGAAACATATTTACATCAAATTTTATTCTATGATACTTTATAAAATATTTTATACAATTTATGTGTTTAATTGCAATCAATTATGTAAAAACAGCTACGGTATTTGACTTTCAAATAGCTGTACAGCAATACTTTGCATGATACTGCATGACCCCTTGTTATTATTCTTGCGCGTGTGAACGAATTCTCCACTTCCACGGCCATTGGTCGAAAGTGAACAGCACTTCGCAATCTTCCTTAAATCTTATTAAATACATATTATTGTGTATAAGTTTTACACGCAACTGATAAAATCTAAAATATTCAAAGTTCAAAGATCGACCCGCTGTTCCTTTTCACCTACGGTTTATCTGAATGCAACATAACAACAAAACTAATAGTTATAATAGCTATAACAACCCACGATACCTTCCATCCCGACGAATACAACGCAAAGCAAACGAAAAGCAAAGCACAACGTGGGCCTTCAGCTTCGATCGTGCCGCAACTAACGAGCCTATTGCTTTCGATAAAAATCGAATTCAGCTATTAAATCGAGCTTAATCCCATTTAATCACTTGAATAGATTTTAATCATTCAGCAGACGAAATTGTTGAATCATCAAATATTGTAGTAATTGAGTCCGACCCAGTTCATTTAATATGAAGGTATATATCAGTGATTTCCAATAAGCATTCTATCAATATTAATTATTAAAATTTTTTAAATTTTAAATACAATTTTATTCAATACAAAATTTTACTTTCCTGCTATATATACTTATTTACAATATATAATAAGTAAAACACTGGTTTTATTGTTTAATGAAACGTAAGTTATAATGATAGCGATACTGTATTGAGTGCAAAAAATTTGGGAATCAATAATGTACACCATTTAAATTCAATTGTTATTCAACGGTGATGCAACTATTACCTCTGCCGAATGCGATCGCCGATCGCTAATGCAATCGCTCGCGACTGGCACGGCCAAGCTGGACGCGCATGTCCTCACAGAGAGGCTTTCGAAGCGGAGCCTTTTGCCAAATAAGCTTCGGTGCTTGCTTGACCGATGGCGAGCAAACCGACGTTTCTCTGGCAAGCCATGCGGCTCGTGTCGCGTCATTTGTTCATTGTCGCACGCGCGGCTGCGAGACTATCTATTAACATTAACATTCCGCGAATTACGCTATTCTTACGGTCCCACCCGTTTCTCTGTTCCTTTCACTCTTTCTGTTATTGTATTCATCTTTCAATTATCTGATCTAACGCGCATTGCTCTTATGTTCAACGTAAATGTTCGTCGTGCGATTGAGGAAAGTGCTCAAGTTCGATTACTTGACTTTGCAGTGGTTTACGGTCAGTAAACAGTAATAGTCTATAATCCTGTTAATCAACTATCTTTATCTTAAATAATAATGTTAATGAAAATATTAAGCAACTTTTATTTTCCTATGAATATTAGCAAGAAAGTATTTCTTCAAATAAAGATGTTACTACGAGAGGCATCACTACTGCAAAGTTAAGAGGTCTGCAGAATTATAAACTACAAAAGAATAATGAATTACTAAACTAAGCTTAACCAAATTAATTAAATATAATCATCCAGTTTAGTGACTTTTTAAATCATAATTCTAGCTAAAGTGCACACTTCGAATATTTTTAAAATACATACAAAAAAATTCTGTAACAAATGCGGAATTAGGCAAATTTCTTTCGATTAGTAATATAATATCATAAATATATTTTTTTTTAAATTAGTTGACGAATATATTAGTCGAGCACCCTTCTCGTTTGAATTGCAACGGAGACACGGGAATATATCATTATCGAATCTTTGTTTACCGATAATAATCGGTATTAAACCTATATAGTCTCGCAGCTGAAAAGTATCCACGTATAGCTATTAAATCAGCCGATCTACGATATGGATTATTTAACATAGCAAAAAGTGTCGACGCAAGGACAAGTACGAATGTAAGAACAAAAAATTTAATCCTTTAACTAGTGCATTGATTTTTAATCTTACGCATCGGAATGTGATATTTGTTTTAAGATTGTTGTAGAATAAAGTTATAAAATTGGAAAAATACCGTTACATTAACAAAGAAGTGAAGCCCGAGATCACAGTTAAAGGGTTAACTATTGAGATATATCTTTTATGATACGTACGTTGTATTTCTATAATATATTTGCGATTGTATAATTAGTATATACATGTGATAACTAAAAGATAAATGTAACTTTCATTTTAATATAATGTATCACAGTCATGATATAGCGATTTCATTTGTAAATTTAAGCGTAAAAAGCGTTGAATACATATTTGTTATCGTCTGCGGTGATGTAATGACGATAAATTTTGTCTCTCATTCTCAAATCGTTAATAATTAACATACTTTACCATATCAATAAGTTTTAATCTATTCTTGCGAGTTTCTATCAAATATAGACCTAACTCTCATTAATTACATTTGTCTCAGTCTTATTTTTATTTGACTAAGCAGAAGCATTTTTTTTCAGAAATGTATCTCTTATATTTATTCATACACTTATTTTAATTATTACAACATATTCTGTCGTAATTTATAAGTAAAGTTGTAATAAAAACTCTAATACATATTTTTTAAGTTATACGATAAACAAATACGAATTAAATTTATTACATAGTTTTGGATTTAGTGATAATAAAATAATTTCTAGAAAAAATAATTTATTAATATCTTAATGCTCAATTTTGTATCGATACTTGTGGCAAACGGTTTGAAAGTTGCAACATTATACTTTCCTGAAGAAATTAATAAAAATGTTATATGGTTGCTGAGTCGTTATAAAACTAAATAACTTGTTTTTTAATTACAAGTCTTAATTATATTCATAATAAATATTAATATTATTATGTTAGATTTCGTCTATCAATTTATAACGATTACTTGTGTAATGCTACATTGTCGAATATTAATCTAGAATTGATTAACTTTTAAATTAAAAATAACATGTAAATCAATTCGATTTTAATATGTCTAAAATTAAAATATTAAATTAAACTAATTAAAACACCAAATTAATTTATTATATATAAATTAAAATTTATCTAGACGAAATATTGCCAATTATATATTTCAGAAAGAATTAAGTACATAACATCATGCCAATGTTTTACGTATGTACGATTACGTGTGTACGATTTATAATTGGGAATTTTGTAAAATTTAAACCTCATAACAATTTTACTTATGGCTGAAAAATACCAAAAAAAATAAAATAAAAATAAAGTATATATTTATCATTTCAAACATGCCAGTATTATTATTTAATTTTGCCAATAATAAACAAAAAATAATTTAAGCTTCAGCACACAAATAAAATGGTGTAAACAAAAAATATGAACAGAAAAAATAATTAATAGGATTTTTCGATTTGTATATGTAAAAATTATAAATAAATACATGTTGCAAATATTTGTTAATTTCCTTTACCCACCCAAAGTTTCGTCATTATCTCTGTCATCAATAAACTGCGAACTAACTGTCAAAGCAGAAGTTCCAAAGTTTATCGACAGCAAAGAATTAAAAAAAAAAAGTAAAAAGTTTTAAAATTTTACC